ACCGTATAAACACATTTCATTACACCAAATACACAAAATAATGTTATTTTTAGCAGCATCATATGACCCCTTTAAATTGAAATTCGATTTAACCTTTATAAAGTAGTTTTTTTAAACCTGAATAAATTCATTAAAATATTAAATAAATACATTATTAAAATGATAAATTATTATATAAATATTTATATTTTTTATTTTAGTGTAGTCTCATGTGTAGAGTTTAAATACGAACTGTTGTCAGCGACACTTTAAATTGAAATTTGATTTGACCTTTATAATGTTTTTTTTTTTGGAAACCTGAATGCATTTGTTAAAATAATGATTAAATTAAAATATTACTAAAATATATTAAATAAAATTAAAAAATGATTATATTTTTCTTATTAAAAAAAATATATATATAATTAAAGTCATTAACTGAAATATTTGTCTTCAGTTCAGTGTGAAGAGTGCACCCTCTACTGGAGCACTCTGACTCTGTGCCAGGTGTGCGCTGTTGCATTGTGGGTAATGTAGTTAATCTCTCTCTGTGTGCAGCCTGGGCCTCACATTTCCAGCGGCTCTTTGTGTCGTTTATCGGAGCGGATTGGATCTTCCTCATGATCCTGGGGTTCATCATGGCCGTGTTCAGCTTTACTATGGATATCTTTGTTGACCTCTTCACAGAGAGTAAGTGTAGCCTATATGTATAAATATGTATGTGAATATGGGTGTCAGAATTAGCCAGTATACCTACAAGATTGTATTATAGGTTAAGATGAGTGTTTTGGTTTCTGGGTTACACATGAAGGTGGTTTACTGGAGCATAAACAGTTCTTTGTGGAGATTTAGAAGTGTCTCTGACATCAGACAAAAAAATATTTTTTGGTTCTTATTGGGACATTCATTCATTCATTTCATTTATTTATTAAGAAACAAATAATTCAGACAGTAATATTTTGCTTCAATAAATTAAAGCCTATTTTAGGACCATTCAAAATTCATTATGCCATTAAACACATTTCTGAAATTGAATGGAAAAACACACGTTTATAAAGTAGTTTTTTTCTGCAAAACAGAAAAACAAAATATACTTTTTTTTATTTAATAATTTTTTATAAGCAAAGTAATTCATTGAAATATTTGTCTTCAGTTCAGTCTTGTTAATGTGAACAGTGCACCTTCTGTTTCAAGTGAGCAAATGAATTAACTAATGAATTAATTGATTGATCCATTAATTCATTCATTCACTCTTTAATCCTTTCATTCATTCATTTGAAGAAACAAACGATTATATAATTAATTATATCATCGGATAATGATATTTTGCTTTCCAGAAAATGAAAAAATAAAAAAGTATATTTCTGAAATTTGATGAAACCATATGTTTATTAATTATCATTGAACTGAATGACTTATTTAAAAAAAATATTATATACAATTTTGTTAAGAGCGATTATTTTAAATATTTATTTGTTTGTTTGTTTATAATTTTTCCTGCAAAACTAAATCACTTCTTATTACTTTAATATTTTTTATTATATACAATTTTTATTATGATCAAAGTAATTTACCTTCAGTTCAATGTTTTTAATGTGAATCGTGCGCCCTCTGGAGGACAGAAAAAAACAGTGCACTTTATCTGTTTCAAGTGTGCAAATTAATTAATTAATTAATTATTTAATTAAAATGAAGTCCATTTTATAACCATAATTCATTATGACATTAAAGCATATTTCTCTTCTGTATCTTCATTACTGTAATAATAAAATCTCATTCTCCTTTCTGTACATGTCTCATCTCTCTCTCTCTCTCTCTCTATGTCTCTCTCTCTCTGTGTCTCTCTCTCTCTCTCTCTGTCTCTCTCTCTCTCTCTCTCTATGTCTCTCTCTCTCTGTGTCTCTCTCTCTCTCTCTCTGTCTCTCTCTCTCTCTCTCTCTATGTCTCTCTCTCTCTGTGTCTCTCTCTCTCTCTCTCTGTCTCTCTCTCTCTCTCTCTCTATGTCTCTCTCTCTCTGTGTCTCTCTCTCTCTCTCTCTGTCTCTCTCTCTCTCTCTCTCTATGTCTCTCTCTCTCTCTATGTCTCTCTCTCTCTCTCTATGTCTCTCTCTCTCTCTTTGTCTCTCTCTCTCTGTTATGTCATCTCACTGTTTGTCCTGCTTTCAGGTGTTAAAACTGTGTCAGTGAGAATAAACCTCTGATTCAGTTCTTCATTCATTCACGCTCGTGTCAGCTGAACTCCATCTGAAACGTGTTGCTCATTCTTTTATAATTATGATGATTTGACTTTACAATAAGCTCCCATTAGTAATGCATCTTTGTTAATGTTAGTTCATAAAATGTGTTTCGCAGCAGGATTTGCAAACATAGTGTCAGTTCAGGCCGCTGGTGAGACGCACACATTCACAAAGCATCGTTACTGTACATACAGTATAAAGCAAAGCATAATTTGTGAGCTTTTACAACAGGTGTCATGCGATGAAGTCTCTGTGTGATTCTTCATACAGTAGCTCGTTAGTGTTTGTGTGTGGTTCAGGGTCTGGGATTCCTGAAACCAAGACGTCTCTGAGAGGAGTGATGCTGCAGGAATATTTCACCTTCAAAACATTAGTGTCCAAAGTCATCAGTCTGACCTGTGTGCTCGGAAGTGAATTACCTGTGGGCAAGGAGGTAAACACACACACACGCACGCGCACACACACACACACACACACACTCCCACACCCACACACACACACACACACACACACACACCCTCTCACATACACTCACACAGACACACTCACACACACACCCTCTCACACACACTCTCACACACACACACAAACATGGAACACAAAAACAAATTTGCAAGCTGCTCTTCTCTTTAGAATTAACATGGTGCTTGTAAAGGCAGAAAAAAACATAATGAAAAAAGTATCATAACAGTCATAACAGTGTATATGAGGAGCAGACACTAATTTCAGTCGTTATTTGTAAAAATCTTCCTGTCTTCCATGTCTTCCATACCTGTAGCTCAAACAGTCATGGGTCAGATTCCCAGGGAATGCTTGAAAACATAAGAAAAAAAAGATTCTAAAAAAATTCCAGCAAGTCCTCAACACTACAGCAATGTTTCTACAACACTCCCACAGAGTTTTATCTAGTTAGTTTATTATGCAATTATAGTTTATATTGATATTTTGATTCT